ATTTCTTTCCTTTAGCCTGGAAAATAACTTTTTCCCATTTTCTGAAAAGAATCTTAGACATTGTGCTAGTTGAGCCCTTCATTTTACACATAAGAAAACTCAAGTCCAGATAGTGAAGTGACTTTTCTAAGTTTAAACAGGAGCAGAAATGTGAAAAGAACTAGGTGGCCTAATGTTTTTGCTGCCTTCCTACTCCCTGCCATTTTAAAGGCTTACTGAATGTTGGGTGTCTAGCAGACAGATTTGATTTAAGCCAAGGTTCTTGCTCTAAGAGCACTCACCACTTTTTCCTCCAGAGAGAAAATACATGAATAAAAGCGAGATGATGAATCTGCCGTAATAAAAGTTCTATAATTAGCCGGGCGCGGTGGCTCAAGCCTGTAATCCCAGCACTTTGGGAGGCCGAGGCGGGTGGATCACGAGGTCAAGAGATCGAGACCNGGTTCTTGCTCTAAGAGCACTCACCACTTTTTCCTCCAGAGAGAAAATACATGAATAAAAGCGAGATGATGAATCTGCCGTAATAAAAGTTCTAGGAGTGCAATGAGGTCCACCCGGGAAGTAGGGACGGGAAAGCTTCACTTCTGAGCTGACGTTTGAATTGTACCATTTACTGAGTATTTTGTGCATGTTACTGTGTGGTTACGGGGCGTCAATGAGGTGCACTCTAGGTTGGAGATTATCTAGTCAGATAGTGTTGTGGGGCAAAGGGGTGGGAAGGGCGGGGAGTCCAGGTGCAGGGACAAGCACTAGTAGAAACAGCTCAGAAAAGGGTTTCCTCTTTGGCATCAGACAGGCCTAGATTTGAAACCCAGCTCTGCTCCTTACTAGGTTTGGACAAATAATCTGCTTTCTGTGACCTTCAGTTAACCCATTTGTAACATGGAGTTAAAAAACAAAACTACTCAGGAAAGAAGAAAAAAAAAAAAATGAGCTTCAGGCCGGGTGTGGTGGCTCACGCCTGTAATCCCAGCACTTTGGGAGGCCGAGGTGGGTGGATCACTTGAGGTCATGAGTTTGAGACAAGCCTGGCCAACGTGGTAAAACCCTGTCTCTACTAAAATTAAAAATATTAGCTGGGTGTGATTGTATACACCTGTACTCCCAGCTACTTGAAAGGGTGTGGCATGAGAATCACTTGAGCCTTGGAGGCGGAGGTTGCAGTGAGCCAAGGTTGCTGCACTGCAGCCTGGGCAAGAGCAAGACTCTGTCTCAAAAACAACAACAACAACAACAACAAAAAAAAAAAAACCCAGAGCTTCCTTATTTCAACTGCATTACATTCTGGAAAAAGTAAAATATGGAGACAGTAAAAAGATCATTGTTTGCCAGGGATCGAGGGGGGCAGGGGCAGGGTGGGAGGGCTGAAGAGGTAGAATGCAGAGGATTTTCAGGGCAATGAAAGTATTCCGTATGATATGATATAACAGTGGACGTGTCATTATACATTTGTCCAAACCCGTAGAATATACAACATCAAGAGTGAACCCTGATGTAAAATGTGGACTTTGGGTGACAATGATGAATCAATATAGGTTCGCCAATTGGAACAAATACACTACTGTGGTTGGGGATGCTGATGGAAAGGGGTTGGGGGTCTATGGGAACTCTGTGTATGTTGTGCTTAATTCTGAACTGAAAACTGTTCTAAAATATAAGGTATTTTAAACAAATGAACCACTTTAAAGATTGTTATGAGGTTATAATTAGAAAACACATACTCGAATGTTCTTCCTTGATTGTGTGGGAAGAAAGGACAGATCAGTCAGTTTCACTGATACATGAAGTTGAGTTGCAGCACCGTTACTCCTCCCGCTTTGCAGCGGGTTTTTAATGTGTCTTCACTGTGGAGCGTGGTGGCCTTGGTGCTGGGGGTCTTCCCATTTAGACTTTGAGCTCCTCATCGTGCCTGGAGTAGAACTCCACTGTGGGTAGGAAAAGAGGCAGTTACAAACAATAGGCCCGGACTCTTTGCTTTGTTAAGAAAGGAAGACAGTGTTTTGCCAGGAAGTTAGTTACTGTTTAAGAAACCCAGAACGATTGTGTTTCTCGGAGTTCTTAGTATTTCCTGGCAGCAGAATGCAAGCCTGGGAATAAACAATGGCGTTTGTTAACTTGTTCAGTGAATTCTGAAGTCTGGGTGCTCAGAGCTTTGAATGGTGAACAGGAGGATGATTGCTCTGTTGGTGAGTGTTAGGAAGCAGCTTCGAGCGTGTGCCCTTCCTGCCTGGGAATGGTATAGAATGGGTTGAGCTGTTAAGGATTCTGTGAGTTTGTGAACATCAGCTGTAGGAAGGTATAATCAGTCATGTAGATCCTTGCTACTCAAAATGTGGTCCCCAGGCTGGTAGTATTGCATCACTTGGAAGCTTGTAGAAATGCAGAATCCCAGACCACATACTAGATTGACTGCATCAGAATCTGCATTTTAGCAAGATACATAGAAGGCTAGTGTCCACCTTGAAGTTTGAGAAGCACTGGTGCAGGAGGTTGGATGCAGGTGACTTCTTCTTGCAGTACAGCATCCTGGCTTCCATGAAGAAGCCTTCCTCGTTCTGCCCGGCTGGGATTTATCCCCAGTTTGTATCTGACCCCATTAGAGTACCAAAGAAGAGGTTCCTAACTAATAACCATGGAGTCAAGAAGGAAAATGGGGTAAGGAACAGAACATGATGTTCCTGATTTCAGGCTTTAATGTTTGCCTTCAAATGTGTGATTGAGCTCAGAGTCTATAAAGCTTTTGCTTCAAGAAGCAGAGTCAATATTTTTCTTATTCAAATCATTAAACATCATCTTGATCTATTCATTGGCTCAACTTTTCTGTTTGATCATCTCCCTTAGGTAACTGTTTTAAATGGTGAAGGATAGACATGAGAGAGACATTTTTATTTCCTTTAAATGAACGTTTTCTGCAAGAATTTGTGGTGAAAGGGCATGTGTAATTTTTGTTGATGGGATTTTACCAGCACAGAGTTTTCATGAGTCCTGGATTTTCTGGTGGAACAGAAAGTCTTATATGTTATGTTGTATTAGAGCCTTTTTTCTTTCTAAAAAATGAAACTTGGAGAAGTTTTGAGGTATAGATAACCTTGGGGTCATGAATTCTAAATGTAACTCTAGGTGTTCAAAAATGTTATATTTAAAAATCTCAAAAATTATTTTCAGTTTGTATTAAAAAAAAGTCTTGGCTTTCAGTGTCTTTTTAGCTGTATTCCTATTATAAAAGTGATATTTTACTAGCATGGCCTCATTACTTGACCTTTGAACTTGTTTACCTTTATTCAGTTAATTGACTGAAGGCTAATTTGGAAATTTTGAGATGGGGAAACAAGCCCTGGATCAGGGATCAGGAGGCAGGTTAAAGATTTGCATTCTCTGCTCTGCTGCCTGGCTGTGTGTTGGGCACATCCCAGGCTCTGGTGGTGTCATCTCTAAATGGAAGCAATTCAACTAGATACATGATTTCCAGCAGGGGACAGGGGCTCTGTGAGCATGCCATGTATCAGGATCTGGGGTACGGGAGCATGTGTAATTTGAGAATGCACAGTATTGTATTTCCTTATTGGAGAAGCGGGAAAACTATATATACATTTTTAAGTGAGTGGCACCAAGTAAAGCATAATACAATCTTGGCTGGTGGTTTACAAGGGATGGGAAGCACATGGGGCTAGCAGGTACTACTGTTGAATGAGTACTGTGTGCTGTTATCAGCTTCTAATATACATATGCTCTATTTAAGCCTTGAAAATTCCTATAAGGTAAGTACTATTGTTGTATGAAGAAACAGAAAGGCTAAGCATCATGTTCAAGGTCATCACAGCCCATGTGTGAGTAGGTCTGGGCTCCGGATCCAAGCCAAGCCTCCAGTCTTAGCTGCCTTGCACTCACAGTCTGTTATGAATCCAGATCAACTTTATGTGTATCTTACTGTTTCTAATGGTATGACATTACCCCACAATCTTAGGTGCACCAAAAAAAAAAAAAAAAAAATCACACTTTTCTTCAAATCCAATTAAGATAGGCTCCAAGTTCCACTTGCAGAGATTGGTGAGGGGTTCAATATCAGTGGTCATTGAGGATTCCTTTTCCAGGCACACATTTTGGTTAGAAAATTCTGAGACCCTCAAATCCCCCTCCATCCTGGTGGTACTGAGATGTTCATTGGCCAAGCCTGCATTGCCCGTTTGAGGGTGACCAATGACATGTGCATCTGTCCATGCTCCTCTTGGCCTCTGTGGTCTTCTCTGGGGCTCCTGAGGCCATGACTTCCAGGTGCTGGTTCCTAAGCATCCACATGTCCACTCTTGTCAGAGGTTTCTACCTACTCCTGCCAGGGGCTTCGTAGACGTGGAACCTGGTACCAACGCAGACATAGAATGCTACATGGACACAGAGCTTCTTGGGGAAAGGGAAGTGTACCTTTTGTTTCTTTATTACAAATTCATATGAAATTAGTTAATTTCTCTGACAAATTATTCTATCTGTAAATGGCAACAAGATTTAACATGACTGACTTTAAGCCATTTTATTAGTGTCCAATTTACATTTCTCTTCGTGAAAACATCTCGTTGTCTCAACAGGGATAGCCTCAAGTCGTTACTTGTACTATCCATGTGACCTTGTGTAAATGAAGTGAGTTCCTTAAGTCTCTGTTTCTTTTTTTGCAAAATGGAAATAATAACAGTATCTATGCTGTAGAGGGTCCTGGGAGATCAGCTATGACAAAGACACTGAGTTGTAGAAAGTCCAAAGTGCATTTGGGGAATGTCATTGATTGTTGGGTTGGTGCAAAAGTAATTGCAATTTTTGCCATTACTAATAGGAAGCTGGAGGGGAGTGTACAGGTGGGTGGGGGAAAGGCAAGAACTGTGTAAATCCTATTTTACAGAGCTTGGATTCACACTGGCCTTCTCTCTGGTTGTGTTAGTAACTGGAGTTTGTGTTCTGACTCAAACATACACTGAGATCTTTCTGATAAACTCCTATTTTGACCTATTTAGGATGCGACTGACTTTGAGTGGAGCTTCTGGATGGAATGGGGGAAGCAGTGGCTGGTGTGGCTTCTCCTTGGCCACATGGTTGTGTCTCAGATAGCCACACTGCTGGCAAGAAAGGTACGATTATGTGTGTTGCTACCTTTTAAGTGTCTTTTTCCTTTGCCTCTTGGGAAGAAGGAGCCCTGAGCTAGAGATCAGAAGACATGGGTATTAGCACTGGGAGCCTGGAGAACAAGATAAGTGATTAATGATCAATATAACATGTAAGATACAAGGTCGTATGTTCATATACTGCACTTTCTCAAACTTATTCTTCAGACATTGAATATAAATTTTAGAGTAAAACTACAGGGCGTGGTAGACTTTAAGATCATTCCTAATCAAATAATCAAAAAGTCGCCTGTTGTTGAGAATCCAGATGACTTCACTTTCAAAATCAGAAGAAAGTACCAATTTACTTAAGAAGTGGGAGTAATTTTACTGTCAAGTAGTTTATGCTGCTGTAGCTGTTTTAGATGGGAAGTCCAGTAGCATTTTGCTCTTGCCTTGGCCTGGCTTGGAGAATGAGAGATTCTTCAAAGTGGTTATTTGAAAAGTACTTTTATATGAGGTAGGATTGAGACCCTCTTCACAGGTCTAGCTACCAAGGGATCCGATATACTGCCAGCAGGATCTTTTTGTCACCTGGGGGCCAGGGTGTTGCCCAGAAGCCTCTGATAAATGCTTCTTGCCTGCTGTAGATTCATCATGGAGGAAAAAAGTCTGTACTTGGAAATTTCCTGAGTAAAAATAAGACACAACCAAAACTTGACTTGGAAGTCAACCTAGGAAAAATGTTTTGATTCTCAGAGGCTCCCAGAGGTGATAAAACTGAAGTAGAAGAGAAACAGAAACCTCTGGAGAGAGAGACCAGAAAGTGAGACGCAGAAACAGGAGGCCCTGTGGTTAGACGTGCACCTAATCTGGGCCATTTTCTGACTCTTCCCTGAAAGTTGGTGCTTTCTGGGCTTGCTTCTCATCCTGGAAGACAGGAAATCCCAACAGCATAATATCTTCCTCTTAAATATGATACCGATTATTTTTTTTTGTAGCCACTCAAGTGGCTGCTGAACTGGCAAAACCTAAAATACTAGATCATGTCAGATCTAAATATATTTTAAAATTTCATATAACTTTGTGAGCAGATCTAATAATAAATAATACTTTTTTAATGTTTGTAAGCTAGTAATGAACATATCTACCTCAGCCCTCACTAACGGTTTTTTTCTTTCATACATTTCTGTCATTTTTTCCCAAGAATTCAAAATTTCTGGAAATTTAACATTTTGATTTCTAACAAAGTTTCCCACCCATGTGTAAATGACTTATTACCATAAATCTCAGTTTTCCTATATGTAAATAGCTTAATACCTGTTTTTTTTCTTTACCTCTGTGAGGGGAAGGTGAAATACTGTGAGGATTGTCCTAAGTCGATTGTGTAGTGAAAGACTGCTAGACATTGTGTTACTCATGTTTGGTCCTTGGTTTTGTCACTGATCAGCTTTTTAAAATGAGCGAAGCTTTTTACTACTGAATCTTAATTTATCATGGTCTTAGTGCATTTTTGTTGCTTATAACAGTATATAAAATGGAGTAATTTTATAAAGAAAATGAATTTACTTAGTAATTTATGAAGAAAAGGAATTTATACAGTTTCAGAGGCTGGGAAGTCCAAGGTTGAGGGGCCACATCTGGTGAGGGCCTTCTTGTGGGTGTCTCTGCAGTCCCAAGGCAGTGCAGGACATCACATGGTAAGCACAATAGCTCAGGCCTCTTTTTCTCTTCTTGTAACGCCACCAGTCCCACTGCCATGATACTGTATTAATTCATGATATGGTTTGGCTTTGTGTCCCCACCCAAATCTCATGTCAAACTGTAATCCCCAAGTCTTGGAGGAGGGGCTTGGTGAGAGGTGACTGAATCATGGGGGAAGGCTTCCTCCTTACTGTTCTCATGATGCAATTTTTATGAGATATGGTTGTTTGAAAGTGTAGCACTCCCCACTTTGCTCACTCTCTCTTCTGCTCTGCCATGGTAAGATGTGCTTGCTTCCCCTTTGCCTTCCACCATGATTGTAAGTTTCCTGAGGCCTTCCAGTTATGCTTCCTATTAAGTCTGTGGAAGTGTGAGTTAATTAAACCTCTTTTCTTCCTAAATCACACAATCTCAGGTAATTCTTTATAGGAATGTTTAAACAGACTAATACAACCTATGAATGAATTAATCCATTAATGAGGGCACAGCCCTCATAATCCAATCACGTCTTAAAGGCTGTATCTCACAATATTGCCACATTGGGGATTAAATTTCAGCACAAATTTTGGAGGGGACAAACATTCAAACCATAACAGTTGTCCTTAGTAAAATAGGATCAATAAGATAGTATTAGTTTTTTTTTTCCCTTTAAAATGTGAGCTTCATTTGTTAGACAGTTCATCCTTAAAAGTAAAGGTGAAACATGGAAAAGTGGGACAAAGAGAAAGCACAAAAGAACTAGTTGAAGTAAGTTTAAATATGTCAGTCATTACAATCAACATAAGTGGATTCTCAATGGATTCTCAGACTAGATGAAAAAAAGAGAAGTAAAGGAAAACAAAAACCAAAACATAGTTCAGAGAGGCTCTTCTTAGCTAGATATCCTTAAAACAGAAGGACACACAATTTGAAAGTAAAAGGTATGAAAAGATATTTCAGGCAAATATGAAACCCCCTCTCCTTCTGACAAACTACTGGTGCAGTTTTATTAATAGTGGCAAAGAGCATTACTAATGACAAAGAGGGCTGTTGTTTCATAATAAAGAGTTAAGTTTTCTGGGTCCAGGCTTGCACATGGAGGCCTGACACAATCCAGTGGTCTTTATGAATTGGGCAGAAATAACCCTTTGGGGAGTTATAATTCAAGGTTGGCATAATTCATGAGCTATTTCTTGGAAGAATAGGGACATGGAAGTGCAAGACACTTAATGAAAATAACCTATTTTTGAATGTGAATGCTAAATGTTGCAAAATAAAATAACCTCCGTGGATTTAAATTTTGAAATAATTGGGGAGATGATCCAAGATGGCTGAATAGGAACAGCTCTGGAGCGCAGGTCCCAGAGAGATGCAGAGGCCGCCGCAGGTGATTCACAGGCAAGCAGGGTCTGGGGTAGACCTCCAGCAGTCCTACAGCAAAGGGGCCTGACTGTTAGAAGGAAAACTAAAAAACAGAAGGAAATAACTTACCGACAGAAAGGACGTCCACTCAGAGACCCCATCCGAAAGTCAGCAACTACAAAGACCAAAGGTAGATAAATCCAAAACGATGGGAAGAAACCAGTGCAAAAAGGATGAAAACACCCAAAACCAGAACCCTTCTCCTCCTCCAAGGGATCAAAACTCCTCATCAGCAAGGGAACAAGGCTGGATGGAGAATGAGTCTGATGAATTGACAGAAACAGGCTTCAGAAAGTGGGTAATATCAAAGTTCTCTAAGCTAAAAGAACATGTTCTAACCCAATGCAAAGAAACTAACAACCTTGAAAAAAGGTTTGATGAAATGTTAACAAGAATAAACAGCTTAGAGAAGAATATAAATGAATTGATGAAGCTGAAAAACACAACATGAGAACTTTGCAAAGCGTACACAAGTTTCAATAGCCAAATAAACCAAGCAGAAGAAACGGTATCAGAGATTGAAGATCAACTCAATGAAATAAAATGAGAAGGCAAGATCAGAGAAAAAAGAGTAAAAAGAAATGAACAAAGCCTCCAAGAAATACGGGATTATGTGAAAAGACCTAATCTACATTTGATAGGTGGACCTGAATGTGACAGAAAGAATGAATCCAAGCTGGAAAACACTCTTCAGGATATTATCCAGGAGAACTTCCCCAACCTAGCAAGGCAGGCCAATATTCAAGTCCAGGAAATACAGAGAACACCACAAAGATATTCCTCAAGAAGAGCAATCCCAAGGCACATAATTGTCAGATTTACCAGGGTTGAAATGAAGGAAAAAATGCTAAGGGCAGCCAGAGAGAAAGGTTGGGTTACCAACAAAGGGAAGCCCATCAGACTCAAAGCAGATCTCTCAGCAGAAACCCTACAAGCCACAAGTGAGTGGGGACCAATATTCAATATCCTTAAAGAAAAGAACTTTCAACTCAGAATTTCGTATCTGCCCAAACTAAGCTTCATAACTGAAGGAGAAATAAAAATCCTTTACGAACAAGCAATTGCTGAGAGATTTTGTCACCACCAGGCCTGCCTCATGAGAGCTCCTGAAAGAGGTACTAAACATAGAAAGGAATAGCCAGTACCAGCCACTCCAAAATGTACCAAATGGTAAAAAGCATCAACACAATGAAGAAACTGCATCAACTTATGGACAAAACCACTAGCTAGCATCAAAATGGCAGGATCAAATTCACACATAACAACATTAACCTTAAATGTAAATGGGCTAAATGCCCCAATCAAAAGACACAGGCTGGCAAATTTGATAAAAAGTCAAAACCCATCGGTGTGCTATATTCAGGAAACCCATCTCATGTGCAAGGATGCACATAGACTCAAAGGGATGAAGGAAGATTTACCAAGCAAATGGAGAGCAAAAAAAGCAAGAGTTGCAATCCTAGTCTCTGATAAAATAGACTTTAAACCAACAAAAATCAAAAGAGACAAAGAAGGACATTACATAATGGTAAAAGGATCAATGCAACAAGAAGACCTAATGATCCTAAATATATACGCACCCAATACAGGAGAACCCAGATACATAAAGCAGGTTCTTAACGACCTACAAAGAGGCTTAGACCCCCACACAATAATAGTGGGAGACTTTAACACTCCACTGTCAGATCAACAAGACAGAAAATTAACAAGGATATTTAGGACTCGAACTCAGATCTGGACCAAGCAAACCTAATAGACATTTACAGAACTCTCCACCCCAAATCCACAGAATATACATTCTTCTCAGCACCACATCACACCTACTCTAAAATTACATAATTGGAAGTAAATCATTTCTCAGCAAATGCAAAAGAACGGAAATCATAAACAGTTTCTCGGACAACAGTACAATCAAATTAGAA